ATCAATGTTTTCATGGCCTACTTAACAGTTAAATCGACTAATTACATTCTTGATACAGAAGAAGAAATTGGTATCTTGGATAAATTTCCTAGTTCAGGGTATCCTCATATAAGCTCTTCTCCTGTCTGAAAGAGACACAAGTGTGATTAATTAATGAGTGAGATTAGTAGGACCCAAAATGACCATTTAAGGAAGAGTATCATCAGAAGCCACGTGTATCATCAAAACCGGTCACACATCTACCTCGTCGAATCTTTTCCGATTTTCCGATTACAAACTTCATTACTTTTGTCCTTACCAAAAAAAAAAAAATTCATTACTTTTGTCGTTTTTCGTTATTAAATAATCGATGCAAGTTTTCCCATCGTATTCATTGATATAGTGATTATCTGTTCGGTTGGGTTGATTTGGTTTTTTGGTCGAAATTTTGGTTGATTGAACGGGCATATTTTTCTTCTCGTTCTGTGCTCACTAGTAAGATTAATTGAACCAAACGTATCACATGGGTCTCAAAGAACTAAAACTAGAGAAGACTCCTAAAAGAAATAAAACAAGACTCTTACACCTTACTTCGTATTTCGATATATAAAGAAGAGCATGCGCGCTCAGAGACAAATAAAAAAAGCGGAGATTTCTTGTTGATAAGGAATTTTGATGGGAGAATTGCATTTAAAGACATAATCAATGCAACAGAAGACTTTGACATTAGATATTACATCGGGAGTGGAGATTATGGTGGTAGTGTCTATAGAGCATGATTGCGAAATGGGAATATCGTGGCATTGAAGAAACTTCACCGTCCTGATGCAAAGGACCCATCTTTTGATAAGAAGATGCGAAACGAAGTGAAACACTTGATGGAAGGCTGGAAAATTGGTCCATGACCTTTCCCTTACGATGGATTAGAAATTTTTGGGGCCAAGCATCACCAATAAAAGGGTCACAAAGACCATGACTTCCCATGAACCGTTGAACACGGAATTATCCAAAAACCAACGCACATGAAACCCCAGAAGACCCCATGCATGCTTGCTGGTTTAAAATCTTTTTTCTTAGTATGGTATGCTGATTTAAATTCTAATCGAATCATAAAACTGTCAAATTTGGAGATTGCGTGAGTAGAATAGAATATACTTCTTGTCAGAAAATTTGTGCTACAACTCTAGAAAATCAATCACTTAAATTACATCGGCGATTTTCCTTACTTGAAAATCCATTGTGTCCATTGTGGCATTAATTTAATATTAAAACATCCGACGTGACTCATCGCAAAGTAAAGTCACGTAGGAATTTTCAGCAAAAAAAATTATCGATGTAACTTAAGTGATTTGCTTTTAAGACTTATGATAGTTAAATGATCGCATAAATAGCTATCGCATCAAAGTGAGTACTGTAAAAAAATTACGACATTATTAGTATCTTTATCCCCTCCAATTTTATCAAGCAACCGAGGGTCGGAAGCCATGAAATTCAAGCGACGTCGTGACAACTGGCTTGAGATTTTATCTGTAGCCATTGTTGATTTTATTTTGCATGATGTCCTACTGAACTTGAAATTTAACTTCTATTAAGGTAGTTAGAGCAACTCATGGGATATGAGCTATTTACATTGAGCAATCAAACAAGTTACTAGCACATGGGATATATGGGTAATTGACTTGCTATCACAATGCCGAAAACCTTGACACATAGTCCAAAATAAAGTTATTAAATTTTTTTGTTTTTGTTTTAATGACAATACAAAGTAATCGGACTGTTTGACTTAAACAAATATCACAAATGCACATAATTCGCATGTTCATATATATCTTGTAAAGCTTTGGCCATAGGGTGACTAGCGAGAATTTTCTGAATGTGAGACAGTAGGACAAAATCCATTGTATATAAATTAAGCGTTTAGTCAGTTAACCAATAATTCGAGTTTTAAAAACAAAATGATTCGATTAAGATGAAAGTTATGACCGAATTATTTCGATCACAGAGTCGTTTTTCGAACAATCGTTCTTGATATTAGATGTGAAGTCCGTTAGGCCCCTCTATGGAGACAAACTAAAGTAACGTGTGTTTCACAACAAGGAAGACTTCAAGTCGTCTCGAAGAACAAGACGAAATGTCGGAGAAAAAAGTAAACAAAATAGAGATTCTGGGATTCTCTGTGATCCATCCGAAGGAGGACAAGTTATGAGTCAATAATTACCCTTTTATATCCCACAAGTTATTTCTTTTTCTTTCTTTTTCTGGTTGGTCGCAAGTTATTTCTTTGGATCCGCCCGTGATGGTCACCGGTAACCCTCGCCAACCTTGAAAAAAAAAAGAAAAATAAGAAAGAAAAATAAAAATTAAAAGATAAAGAAAAATAAAAATTTAAAAAATCAATAAAATAACATTAAAAAAATCCACGTCGGATGAAAAATTAAATAAAAAATCCACGTAAGCTCATTTGCCGGAAATGGCACTCAAGTGATCCATTTTCGCCGGAAGTGATACTCAAATAATTTATTTTACTCCGACGTGGTACTCAAGTGAGCGTCGTATAAAAATTGTGGCACTCCTAGTGTCCTTATCCCGAGAATAATTTATTTGACAGTCATTTATTTTTTGTCAATGCATGATAAGTGGTGTTGTGTTGTTGTGGCCACGAAAATTAGGCAACGTAAGGATACTCACTACGTGTTATTCGGGATCATTTCTGTTTAGTTGAAGGCTTGCTAGTCAATTAAAGGCGGCAAATTGATCAACGTTTCCTTTTCGATGGCCAAGGATCCGACATCACGAAAACAACAAAAGACCACGATGATTACTCTAGACGAACCGTGTCTCTTGGTCCGGCAATCAATACATGTCCAAAGACCTTGACTTGTTGACTTTTGAGGAGCGTACTCGACAAAGACCTTGACTTCTGGAATTTGTGCAACTTCCCTGTGTAAGCTGGTTCAACTTCTAATGGAATCATCATTAGTTAACCGTGAAGCTTACGATGGAGGGCCTGCTACTTCGCAATCACGATGTTGCGGAATCAGAGTTTATCCATTATAAAGACAAAATCAACCGTATATATTAATTCATGTCTTGAAGTTTTGTAATAATGAACGCAACCTTTAAATTTAATCAGAATGGATGAACACAAGGACACAGAGACATGGAAACCCATCGACATAAAACCCAAAAAATAAATAAAGAAAAGAACCTTAAAATCATAAAATCATTCTTTTTTCCGCCTTAAAATCTCGTATGCCGCATTTTCTGTATACCTCAAGCACGCTTCCAATGAACGAGAGTTCATGATGCTATTCATAAATTATGAATCTCCCCAAATGATCGTTATCGGTGTTCAACCCACGTGAAACGTGATCCAAAATTCTTCCGAAGATATTTAACATCTTATTCAACAAAGCTCTTATACGAAGGCTCCGTTTGTCTTGTCGAAAATATTTTTCGGGAAAACATTTTTCTTATTTTCTAGCCATTAGATCGCTTAGGAAAATGAGTCAACGAAAAATATTCTCATAATCAACGGAAAATGTTTTCCTATCAAAACTTAAATTCAGGAAAATAATTTCCTTTTTAAAAAATTGGAAATAATTTTTCAAAATCTGATTAGGTATCGGTGCTTGGACCAGAAACGCTGCACTTGGGCACGATAACCCCAATGCTCGTTCTCGGGTCCTTGGCAGCGGGGCCAGGTCTCGACGCTATGGCCCGAGTCCATATAGGTTGTGCCAGGGTTCATCGAGGCCGAGGTCGGGACACTGATGCCCATACCCGGGACACCAGGCCTGGTAATATCGAGGTCAAGCCTGGGTCCTTGACGCCTGTGCCTGGGTCCATCGAGACCAATTTTTTTTTATAAAAATTTCCTTACCAAATTATGAAAAATATTTTCCAATTCATTTTCAGATCTTAGCCAAATACTAGAAAATATTATTATTTTTCTGAAAAATGATTTCTTGAGTAACATTTTTAAAAAACGTTACATTTTTCGCGAAATAAACGGAGCCGAAACCCCATTCTAGCAAGACCATCTTACTTCGTTCAACACAACGAAAGCCCCAAACAGCTGCTCTCTCTCTCTCTCTCTCTCTCTCTCTCTCTCTCATTCATGTCTCAGTCGAGTTAAGAGCAGCGGCAGTGGTGCGACTGCGACGGTGGCAGAGTGGCGGGCAGAGAGATAGAGAGATTTTTTGCCCAATTTATCTCATGTAAATTGCCACCTGAGAATATTGCCTCATGGTGCATTTTTAAGTGGAGACTTGCCTAAAAGGACAGAAAATCGTCTACTGCCAAAGCTGTTATAATTATGTTTTCTACATTTGCTTAGAGAAGGCAGTAGATATACCGACATGCTTTTGGAATTTGTGCTTGGCTTGTATTATGGGATTTAGCGCGTTTTATCTACTAAAAAAAGAGTTGCCTCATTTTTTCATAGTTCGTTAAATCTTGTCACAAAAAAATAAAGATAAAATTGAATTTGGCAGGGAAAAATTCTATTGTTCTACATATAAAAATAAGATTTTCTTTTTCCGAGTAGGTAAATTTCAATAAGTATTGTAGGTATAGAAAAAGATATTGATAACCGACTTTTTTCAGGTAACTCGTTGGTAATATTTAAAAAGAATTGATAAGACCTGGCGAAATAATGTTGGACATGTAGTTTTGGGTTTGCGGGGGTGCTGAAACTTGGATTGGTTCGCAGACTAATTCAACTTTGTAGTGATTAGTGTCCCTTTTACAGCCCTACGAGATGATGGCAACTCCATCATCTCTAAACAAAAAGGAAGGAAAAAGTCCGACAGAGTCTATACTTTTTTGAGTCTAAGAGAGTTACGGTTGAACGTAAGTGTGTCGAGCCATTAAAAAGATGAACGCGTGAACCGTACAAATCGCGTTTCCTTTGGCGCGTCAGCACAGTAGTGTCTTCTTGCTTTTCTTTATATAAGTGCAGTATAACACGTGACTGAACAAGACCCTGTTTCTCCGACTACAGCGAAAGAAGAGGTCACCCCTTGAGGAGCATAATCTGCAACATGTCCTTAGTTATTGTACTGATTACTACCATAGCTTTCTCCTGCTACAATCCAATTGTTGCGGCAGCAGCGCCTTCTAATGAGTCAGAGGCAAGTGCGCTTCTCCACAGCGGGTGGTGGCCTCCCTCCGTCACCGGCGACACTTCCTTACCTCATTGCACATGGCCCGGGGTATTGTGCGACGCCTCTGAGACCGTCAACGGAATTCACTTGACAACTGAGTACCAAATAGGAGGTAATTTCAGCAACATGAACTTCTCTCTCCTTCCGAACCTCGCCTTTGTCCAACTCTTTCACACCGGACTAGCCGGCGAAATCCCCCTTCAGATATGTACTCTGTCGAGGCTAACTTACCTTGACTTGTCCTACAATTCTCTCACCGGTGAGTTGCCTCCTTGTGTCCAAAACCTCACCATGCTTCAATTTCTTGATATCAGTAATAATCAAATCAGCGGCGCAATCCCTCCGACTGTTGGTTGCTTGCACAATTTACGATCCCTCATATTTGGCTCAAACGAATTTGGTGGCTCTATCCCTCTAGAACTTGGAAACCTCACAAAAACAGATTATGTCGATTTAAGTTCCAACAACTTCACTGGTCCCATTCCGTCGTCTATAGGGAATTTGACGAGCTTGACCCATCTCTATTTGCAAAAAAACAAACTCAGTGGATCTATTCCACCGGAAATAGGCAATTTGGAGAGCTTGGTCGTGCTGAATTTACGGGAAAATAGATTTATTGGTGCCATCCCATCGGGAATAGGAGACTTAAGGAATCTCGAATTTCTAGACTTATCATTCAATCATCTCAAGTGCCCCATTCCAGACAATTCTCCTTCTGGTTCAATTCCCACATTTCGAAGCACATTATTATATGATCTTAACTTATCATGCAATCATCTCGAGGGCCCAATTTCAGCTCCAGATAGTCTCGGGGCTTATTATCCTGGTAACTTTTGTCTCGGTAACCAAGATTGCAACCAGTTTGACGAAGCCCAAGCCCACAGAAGAAGGTCTAGCGGAGTTCATTACATGACGATGTTCATTCTGCTAGCTACGATATTCATTTCCTGTATAGTTGTTGGATCTTGCTTCCTATTTCGACGCGCAACAAAGAGCGTGCAATCAGAGACTTCTGAGAAAAATGGAAATTTCTTGTCAATATGGAATTATGATGGGAAGATTGCATATGAAGACATAATTAATGCGACGGAGGACTTCGACATCAAATATTGCATCGGGACTGGCGGTTATGGCAGCGTCTATAGAGCGCGATTGCCCAATGGGAAAGTCGTGGCATTGAAGAAACTTCACCGTCTTGAAGCGGAGGACCCGTCCTTCGACAAGAGCTTTCGGAATGAAGTGAAACACTTGACAGAAGTAAAGCATAGAAGCATAATCAAGCTCCATGGTTTCTGCTTACACAGGCGATGCATGTTCTTGATTTACGAATACATGGAAAGGGGAAGTCTATTCTGTGCTTTGAGAGATGACGTCAAAGCGGTGGAATTGGATTGGTCCAAAAGAGTCGATCTCGTCCGGGATACGGCACACGCTTTGTCTTACATGCACTACAATTGTGCTCAGCCAATTGTTCATCGAGACATATCTAGCAACAACATCTTACTAAACAGCAAAATGCAGGCTTTTGTATCAGATTTTGGCACCGCAAGGCTTCTGGATCCTCATTCCTCGTCTAACTTCACCGCAAATACCGCTGGCACCTATGGATATATTGCACCGGGTGAGCAATACTTCATGCTTCATAAGTTTTTCTCTTTAATCCTGAAAGTTACTAGTAGAGGAAAAAATCCGATAAGTAAATATTTGTCGGAATAGTCAAGATTTCTCGATGTTGTATTACATCTATATGGGTATTACTAATTCATTCATTTCTATTCACCGTTTTATTGTGGAAATTAAATTAATTGTTTTTAAAGGAAAATTGGAGGGGTAAATGGAACGGGGTGGGGTGCTGCACATAGTTATGTGGGGTGAGGACGGGGAGGGAAAAGTTGCTCCTCCCGGGCAACAACGGGGCGGGGGTAAAGGTGCAACCATCATGTCTGAAGCCTCAACCGCCAAAATTTTTGATGTCTTTTGTATCTTTTCTTTCCAGAACTCGCGTATACTTTGGTCATTAATGAGAAATGCGACGTATATAGCTTTGGAGTGGTAGCAGTGGAAACGATGATGGGCGAGCATCCAGGAGATATTGTATCTACGTTGTGGACATCCTGTGGAGAAGATATCATGCTACATAAAATCTTAGATCCGCGGTTACCTTATCCAAGAGAGAACTCTGTCGCAAGAAGTATTGTTCTGATAGTTTCTCTTGCGCTCGCTTGCTTGAGTGCTAATCCAAAGTCCCGACCAACTATGAAGCAAGTCTCGGAAGCTTTTCTAGCTCGAAAGTTACCCTTGGCGAGGCCCTTCCATGAGATCTCATTGGCTCAGCTCCGAGATAATAACAGATCATGGATGTAAGGTGAATCAACAGAAGCTTCATCAGGACTAAGGGATGAGCAAGGGGTTATTAAGTGTTTGTCCAAATAAAGAGTTAGATTGATTAAATGATGCTGCAATTTGGTGAAAGTGATTCAGGATATAAAAGTGTATGGCTTCTGCACATAATTAAGTCATGTAAAACTTTTTTCCGTACTATGCTAGAGGAGTGAGAAGCAGTTTATATAGGACATCCGTTCATTTTTCTTCTTTTCAATAAGATTGAAATGCATGATTAATAAACAATGCATCAAGAAATAAAGAGACCCGCACCAGTCCCAACATAATACCAGTCCCAACATAATACACGAGAACCCGTACACAATTTCTACCACGTAATTGATTCCATTTAGATGTTTGCTCAATAATTGATGCAAGTTTTCAAATTGAATTTACTGATTTAGCGGTTATCCGTTCATTTTGGTTGGACACAACGTATTACAAGTGGCTCAAAGAAATCAAATTAGAGAAGACTCTCAAAAGATACGGGTGAGGTGGAAAACTTGTAAATAGGTTTTGGGGCCGTCAAAATTGAACTTAGGCGAAGTATGTCGAAAGCTGTTTTTGACTTGAGTTGTCTTGTTCCACTGACCATATAATTTCAATAGATAGTCTTTGTATTGCAGTTCCTAGCAATTTCTCAGCAGTCTTTTGTGACACTAAACGAAATAATTAAAATGGGTTATGAATGGATTAGTGAATGATTAGAAGGAACAGCAGAAGTTCAATTACTCAACAACAACAGCGTCCTCCAAGCAATAATCCTCCATACTTTTCTAAATGTTGTAACTAGATGCACATAGCTAGATCGATATACTATACCCCCATGTGGTTAACAACATCATTGATGTTTCATCATGCTGACAAATATGTCCTTTGATATTACACTAACTAACATTGAAAACATGGTTTTGAGCCTCATCTAATTCATCAACTTTTTGTCCTTTTCTTAGAGTTCACTTACACTTTGGTCATCAATGAAAATTGTGACATATAAAGCTTTAGAGTGGCAGCAATGGAAACAAAAATGGGCGAGAATACAGGTGATGTCATTTTGATGTTGTCAGCACTCCTCAAAGAAGATATTATGCTACATCAATTATTAGACTCGCGCTTGCCAATCCCAAGAGTGAATTCTATCGCAAGAAATATCGTTCTAGTAGTTTCTGTGGCGCTTGCTTGCTTAAGTAGCGGTCCAAAGTCACGACCCACAATGAAACAAGTTTCTGAAGCTTTTCTGGCTCCAAAACCAGCGTTGGCCAAGCGCTTCCATTCAATCTCACTTGCGCAGCTCCAACAAATGAATCGAGTGAGTATGGTGGGAAGGTGGATCAATGGAAACTTCATCAAGCCTACAAGAAGAGCAAGGACCATGCAGTACTTGTCCCAATAGTAGCAAATAAAATTCCAACCAGTGAAGAGTTGATTGATAGAATGATGCTGCAAATTGGTGATTGTAGTTGAGGATACAAAGGATACGGCTTCTGCAATTTTAAGTCACGTCAAACTTTTTTTAAACTAGCTAGGCTAAAATCTACCTAAGTAGCAATGTGGAGTGAGAATCATTTATCTGACAGTCATTTATTTTTTGTCTTTACAGTAAGATCGGAATGCATGATAAGTGGTGTTGTGTTGTTGTGGCCACGAAAATTAGGCAACGTAAGGATACTCACTACGTGTTATTCGGGATCATTTCTATCTAGTTGAAGGCTTGCTAGTCAATTAACGGCGGCAAATTGATCAACGTTTCCTTTTCGATGGCCAAGGATCCTACATCACGAAAACAACAAAAGACCACGACGATTACTCTAGACGGACCGTGTCTCTTGGTCCGGCAATCAATACACGTCCAAAGACCTTGACTTGTTGACTTTTGAGGAGCGTACTCGACAAAGACCTGGACTTGTGGAATTTGTGCAACTTCCCTGTGTAAGCTGGTTCAACTTCTAATTGAACCATCATTAGTTAACCGTGAAGCTTACGATGGAGGGCCTGCCACTTCGAAATCATGATGTTGCGGAATCAGAGTTAATCCATTATAAAGAAACAATCAACCGTATAAATTAACTTATGTCTTGAAGTTTTTAATAATGAACGCAGCCTTTAAATTTAATCAGAATGGATGAACACAAGGACACAGAGACATGGAAACCCATCGACATAAAACCCAAAAAGTAAATAAAAGAACCTCAAAATCATAAAATCACTCATTTTTCCGCCATAAAATCTCGTATGCTGCATTTTCTGTATATCTCAAGCACACTTCCAATGAAAGAGAGTTCATGATGCTATTCATAAATTATGATTCTCCCCAAATGATCGTTATCGGGGTTCAACCCACATGGAACGTGATCCAAAATTCTTCCGAAGATATCTAACATCTTATTCAACAAAGCTCTCATATGAAGGCTCCGTTTGTCTTGTTGAAAATATTTTCCGGGAAAATATTTTTTTCATTTTCTAGCCATTAGATCGCTTAGGAAAATGAGTCAACGAAAAATGTTCTCATAATCAACGGAAAATGTTTTCCTATCAAAACTTAAATTCAGGAAAATGATTTCCTTTTAAAAAATCGAAAATAATTTTTCAAAATGTAATTAGGTATCGGTTCTTGGACCAGAAACGCTGCACTTGGGCACGAGAACCCCAACGCTCGTTCTCGGGTCTTTAGCAGTAGGGCCAGGTCTTGACGCTATGGCCCGAGTCCATATAGGTCGTGCCTAGGTTTGTCACGCCCCAAACCCTATCGAGCTCGCGACATCTCCCTCTCAGGTCGTATTAGTGCGATGTCCCAGGAAACGTCGCCGACCTCACGATTCCATCAGAGTTCGATCACGGCGGAAACCAATGAAATAAACCCGGACAATAAAATTGGAGAACACCAGGAAGAAATAAATCACCAAGCCACCAAACATAAAACTATACATCGATATATAAATATACAACATTCAATTCTTTACAACCAAACACTTCCAACACCCATTAGGTTTACATCAACTGATAGTATACACCCGAACGGATTTCCTGATTACACCACCAACTATTCACATCAAGCTCTCCCTAATTTAATATCAAACTCATAATACATGCACACCAACTCGCTTCTACGGATCGCGTCCTCGACCTCATAAAGGGATTAGCAGCCAAGGTATATTCTACTCCTGAATGCTCGGTGTGCATCGGGATTCCAAAACGCTGCGGCAGTAGCGGCGGAAGATTCAAGGCTCGGGCGGGTTCTCTGAAATAGTTTGGTTGAAACAACCATGAGACACTTCTCAATAAGTCACAACCTAAACCCTACCTAGGCTACCACGTATTCCAGACAAGTTCAGACACACAAACGAGCAACACGAACAAACACTATCCACGCAATCACACTTACCTGGACCCTTGGCATACTCAGCCTGCACGTTAGTTCATGATCACAACATTCAAAACTCGCACGCATTTCAAACTTCGCGCACCCCAAACCACACACATTTCAATGCCAAAAACACACATCGATCACGCACTATCACATCAATTTCATTTACTTTCCTCATCTTACCCCACTAGCTCAATCACTTTCTTGGCCCGCGTAAACACGCCTCAGGCCCACACGATCGCGCCCCGAGCATCACACGCCTCGGTCCGATCCCACTTTCTCTTACCATACCACACACCCCATTCTCAATCACATTCCTCGGCCCGCGTAAACACGCCTCAGGCCCACACGATCGCGCCCCGAGCATTACACGCCTTGGTTCGATCCCATTCACACGTTCTTTCCTCAGCCTGCGCCAAATGCGACAGGCCTACGTGATCGAAACCCGAGCTTATAATGCCTCGGTTCGATCCCGGTCTCACCCGAGTTGATCGTGCCTCAGACCGATTTCATTCTCACTTTCTTTTCTCAGTCTGAGCCAAATGCGACAGGCCTACGTGATCGAAACCCGAGCTTATAATGCCTCGGTCCGATCCCACAATCACATCACAACTCGTGTCAACACGCCTCCGGGCCTTTTAGTGATCACACGCACATCACACGCCATAAATTTCACATGCGTGCATACTCATGTATTAAATATGCGCACTCAGAGGCGCCCAAATCAATCAAATCAATTCAGCCACATCACAACATACAACCAACACGCAATTTGTCCTTTTTCGACACCAAAACTATGATATCTCACTCCCGGCCCTTCACAGCACTTTCACGAAATTCCGAGCCGGATCTAACGGCACCAACCGAACACCAAACAGCACATCACAGCACTCAAAACAGCAATTTTCAGCCACCAATCGGCCTCTAAAAATCCACCAAAATCTTCCGATTTTAATCCTAAGGTCCGCCAATCGAATCAACCCCTAAACTACACCAAATCACGTCCAAACGGGTCTGATAATACCCGATATACTAGGCGGGGTTTAGATTGCAACTTACCGGACTCTAGACTAACTCGGCTAGAGCGGAAAGCGGTGGCAATCGGCGGGGACGGCGGCGAGCGGCGGCGCGGCTCGGCGGTGGCGTGGACGGCGCGCGGCGGCGGCGACTTCCTTGGCCGTGACCCACGGCCACACGAGAGAGAGAGAGAAAACCGGGAGGAAGAGGGGATGGCGTGAGGTGGTGGCGGTGCAGTACAGCGGAGGCGGAACGGCGGACGGGCGGTGGCCGGTGGCGACGGTGCGGCGGCGAGCGGCCAAGGGGAAAGAGAGAGAGAGCTCTCGGTTGGGGGGGTTGCCGTGAGGTGAGAGAGAGAATGAGGAGAGAGAGAGAGGAATTTGGACTAAAATAGTCCAATTTTGACCCACTTGGCAATTTACCATCTTGCCCCTCTCTAATCTTTTTAATCAACGGCTGAGATTCGATCTTATCTTGAAATCAACGGCCCGGATCGAATCTTTTCCAAAATATCCAAGGGCAATTTGAGAATTTCTCAAAGAGTCCAAGGGCAAAATTATCCAACTCAAAAGTTAAGGCAAAATGACCAAAACGCCCTTCCCTCTTAAAACTTGCCCTTAACAAATTCTTAGGGGTAAAATGGTCACTTTCCTCATTTCTCGCCAAAATCGAATTTTTCTAAAGGATTCGGGAAAATCCGAAGCTGTACGTTCCAACCACAACGTCGTCCTAACGTCCCGTTGTGACTTCCTAATTTTCCGATGTCCAATTTGGGCTC